GATGACGGGCGGATAGGAATAAATGCCGAGGGGTTGGCATTACTTCCCTGTCAGGCCGTTGGTGGTGATAGGCCTTGCGGGCGCTACTCCCCTGTGGGCGTCAGGCAGCTTAGTTACTCCGGCGTGTTTCTTGAAAAGTTAACTTTTATGAGTTGGCCTTCAAAAGTTAGCTTTTAAATCCACGGGGTATAAAAATCCAGCAAAAATTCACTTTGCCAAAGAAAAAGAACTCACCAAAAAATGTCACCTCTCACACAGGTGACTGGATTGGTGATCGGCGGCCGGATTGACGGCGGCCATGGATTGGCCCTGAAGGGAGATAAACCAGCATCAATTTTGTAACAGCCGGCATAGGTTAAGAAGTGTACTGGTTTGCCTGCCACAGAACCTGCTATCCGGGGTACTTCGGTGAAAAGCCATAGACCAGTGAGGACCTGTGGCTGCTGCTCCATGTTTACATTTGGTACAGGTCAGTCGGCACGGGTCAATCTAATCGATGCCGACTAACCCATATTTGGGTAACAGTGATCTGGATTAGTCAACTCAGAAGCATTCAAGTTGCCCCAGAAAAGACGCAAATAGATATTTAGTTGGGAGTTGCAAGCCCAGTCTAGTAGGTCTGTCATTAATGCCTCTAATGCCGTGAGGGAAATAGTAGGGACTTGAAAATAGTGCAGGAGGTGGAAGGTGGGAAGGGAAATTACTCGACGAAAACCGATCCTACTATTGTCTGAATTACAGTTGGCGGTTTTAATGTTATATATCTTCTGAAATAATTAGGAGTTCTATAAGATATCGGTAGCCATATCTTCGGTCCGTATTGTAATGTATTGTAATCTAGGAATTAACTAGATTGTAATTATCCAGATGCAGCTGCCACTGGGGCTGTGCAATTCGACCAATAGCGTACGGCGAGCTGAATTTCACGCTCTTCCTTGTGAAGTGTGAGTCACGAATAGCTCCCAGTGCATGTACATGCCCCGTCTTGATACAGGGATGGACAACGAACTTGATTCGCTCAGTACCTAGTTTGCCGGACAACGCATACTGCATGAACGAGCATGATTGCCATTCTCCAAGATGGGAGGGTTTTGCGCGCTGAGTGACAACTTGGTTTGGGCTTATAAGGAAGTGATATGATCGTTTATAGTAGTAGTAACTTCGCCTTTGATCCAAAACTAGTAAACACCATGGCCAATGCTCAGACTGTCCTAGACTATCTAAGGGTAGCACCACCGGGCCTCACTACCGAAGAAACCAACAAAACGCCCAACACCACCAATGGCAATTATTCCTGGAGAGACATCAACAATGTTGGCGACTGGTCCGAATTCACCTACGCCCATGTTATGCAGCGCTACGGGAACTTGCTTCAGTCAGCACAGATTGCGGGCGAACCAATGCCAAACTCACCTCCACAATCTATCAACACCGAGCCGATGTTTGCCGTCCGTTTCACCACCTACATCCAAAGTCGGTTGCGTCGAGCGCTGCGAGCTAGTTTCCAGCATCTTGCACCTCAACTTGCAAATCTGCAACTTACTCCTATCACAATTGACATAGGTGATGCAGCGCAGATCATAGACAACTTCCGACCAGACATAGCATTTTTTCAAGCAGATAGCACACTCAACTCCTCCCCGAATCGCTGCCCGGGCGACCTGAAAGTGTCATGGAAATGGGCGTCACACTGGGCAACGGCGTTATCTGCAGAAGATCGCAGGGAATATAAGCAGGGTTCTGTCTC